CATTTGCCTTTTGTTACAACAGCATATTTTGTCTGAGACTTTTTCATGAAATAATTTATTTTCAGCATTTGAATGGCAGGACGCAATTATCAGTATCTTGTACGAGTCATTTTTGTTTTCTTCATTTTCTAAAGCTTGCTAATATTCTCGGCCATTTGAACCTAGCTGTTGATGATTTTTCCATTTCGAGGCTTTCCACTTGGTCGAGAGTATCATCAATGTCAGACCGAGTCTGCGAAGGTGAGCTTATTAAAATTTTTGGACTGGATTTCTACCTGATAAAAGCCTTCTGCTATTTTTTTCTGCTTATCCTGTTCCAATTGTGCCGTTCTACGTTTTCTCTGCGTTATTGTTGGCTCCTTCACCTCTGGATAAGGTATCCACTTTCCTGCAGATGCGCTCACAAGTCTTCGATCACCGTGAGGTGCAACCTCTTCAGCCTGCGTCTTATCCTATTATAAACAAGATAAGTAGCACAATTAGTCCTACATCTGACGCTTACTTCTGGGAAATCCTCCGCTGATAATCGGTTCTTCAAAAAGCGATGGGGGTTTTCTAACGAAGGAAGTGTCTCATTGCTGCCATCAGTTTTTGTTGTGATTGCTGGCTTCTTCAACTCCATAGAACATGCATCTTGTCCTTTCTGAGCTGTTCTGAACTGTGCTCTCATGGGTTCTTCATCAGGTGACCCTCTGAGGCTACAACTGATGCTCAACCATCCCACCAAAAACAAAGTCAGGACTAACTAAACGAATGAGCATTAGAGGCTTTCCTTGAGCTCTAATCATAGATACCTGCAACGCAAAAAACATGACACTCGTCCAATAGCTTTCAGCAAAAAACGACCACTCGAAACAACCACCCAGCTTGGAACCAGCAAACAAATTGGTCCAGAATGAACTCAAGAGAGTTTGATTCCTCACTGCAGAGGAGGTTGTTTTGCACTACGTACCATCATCATTTGCCCTGCGTAACTTGTCTTAACGTGTCGCTAGGAACTAGGCAAACCTCCTCTTACCTCTATTTGTTTACATGGAAATCATCAGAAGCC